AGGCTTCGCAAGACTACCCTTGAGAGGTTTTAACCAATCCTTTCACACCACCACCAAATACATGTTTTTTTCTACAGCCCTACTTCCCTATTTTCAAAGATCTGAGCTGTGAAACTATATTTATTTGCATTTACTTCTCCAAAGGGATAAGAACATTACTATAACAATTCTGTATTTTCACCCAAAAAGTACAAACTGCTTTCTTGGCCCATACAGCCTTATCCCAAATAAATGTACAATCTCCAAAAATATAGTCAGTCTTGAAGTTATATAGGTATGATCTACCATACTGTAGATTATTCATAGAATATTACTTACATGATAGAATTAAGGGCTTTATACACACACTCTCTCTCTCTCTCTCTCTCTCTCTCTCTCTCGCTCTCGCTCTCTCTCATTCTCAAAACAATCCTGTGAGGTAGTTACTATTATTATCCCCCTTTAAAAGATGAGAAAAGTGAGGCACTGTGAGACTAATCAGCTGACCAGCATGGCATTGTAACAGATATCATAATCATACAGAATTTGTAAAAATACTAAAAGTATTGTTAATGGCAGAAAATACTGATTAGAAGGCTTCCATCATTTGGATGTACAACACATGCTTCCTTGGGCTAACCACAAGTAATGACCTGGCCATTCAGCTGTGAGGCCCAGAAAGCATGGCAGAGCTGGTATGGCCAGGCACCCCACAACACAGCATCAGGGTAAGAAATTAAAAAGCCAGCAAGTGGGCATGCAGCAAGGGTTTCAACTCTATCCTGATATTCCAAAAGAACAACAGAGAATTTAGAACAATCTTAACAGATAATCTCTGGGCCTCTTTTTATCCCTCAGTGTATAAAATGTTTAATGCTACTAAATCATTGCACAGAAATTATTTTTAAATGTTTACATAACATTTGTAGAATGATAAATATTTTCTTATACATTTCACAGGTTTTTGAGAAAGCATTTACACTGAGATTTGTTTTTACACTGCCATCCTTCCCAAACTCACCATTATTACAGTAATAGAGAATTGATGCTACTAGAAGCAACACACAGGCCCTCCCTGGCAACTGACCTCCCTCCCCTCTCTCAGCTCTTCCAATGCTGACCATCCCACCACCCAAACCTCACATTTCTCAAGTTCTGGTAAACACACTGTACACCCTGCCATTCCAATGATCTACCACTGTTGAGAGAAATGTCTCAGGATCAGGTAGACTAGCACTACTTCTCATACTACTGCTGTTAAAGGACAAAACTTTCAGTGGTCTGAGACAAAAAGGGGGTCAAGAGAAAGGATTATTATTTTTAAATGAAACAAATTATTCAACTTAAAAAATCATCCTTTATTCTGGGGTTGTCCTTCTTACTTTTTCAGTGTTAACATGTGATAATGACCAATGCTGCTTTTTTTTTTTTTTTTTTTTTTTTGTATCATCCTGACTGGCCAAATGAAAAGTCAGAAACCCAGTCAATCCCTAAACCTAAAGGTTAGGGTAACAAATACTAAGTCTACCATGTATACATGCAGGGTGGAGGACAAGCCCAGGCAGGAAATGAAGGCATAAAAAACTTTCAGAGGAAGTAGATACTTTTGCATTTAACAGTGAAAAAGAAACTTAGACTGGTCCACTGAACAAGTGCAAGCAAAATAAAACTGCAAATTTCAGTATTCTACTCAGAAAAGATTACAAGCACTGAGGCAGACGACAAATTTGACTTTTAAAATCAAAGTAGGGGGTGGGCATGGTGGCTCACACCTGTAATCCCAGCACTTTGGAAAGCCGACACGGGTGGATCACAAGGTCAGGAGTTCAAGACCAGCCTGGCCAAGATGGTGAAACCCCATCTCTACTAAAACTACAAAATTTAGCAAGGTGTGGTGGTAGGCGCCTGTAATCCCAGCTACTCGGGAGGCTGAGGGAGAGAACTGCTTGAACCCGGGAGGCAGAGGTTACAGTGAGCTGAGATAGCACCACTGCACTCCAAGCCTGGTCAACAGAGCAAAAGAGAGAGTCTCAAAAAAAAGTTATCTAAAAAAATAAACCAAAAAGTAGGCTGGGAGCAGTCAGACGCAGCAGCTCAGACCTGTAATTCCAGCACTTTGGGAGGTTGAGGCAGGCAGATCACTTGAGGTGAGGAGTTCAAGACCAGCCTGGCCAAAATGGTGAAACCCCATTTCTACTAAAAATACAAAAATTAGCCTGGCATGGTGGCAGGTGCTGTAATCCCAGCTCCTGGGGAGGCTGAAGCAGGAGAATCACTTGAACCTAGGAGGCAGAGGCTGCAGTGAGCCGAGATTGTGTCATTGCACTCCTGCCTAGACAAGAGCAAAACTCCTTTTCAAAAAAAAAAAAAAAAAAAAAAATAGTAGACTGAGTTCAGTGGCTCACACCTGTAATCCCTGCACCTTGGGAGACCAAGGCAGGCATATTACTTGAGGTCAGGAGTTCCTGGCCAACATGGTGAAACTCCATCTCTACTTAAACACACACACACACACAATAAAATTAGTAGGGCGTGATGGCGGGCACCTGTAATCACAGCTGTTCGGGAGGCAGAGGCAGAACTGCTTGAAACCACGAGGAACAGGTGGCAGTGAGCCAAGACTGCACCACTGCACTCTAGCCTGAGAGACAGAGCTAGAGTCCATCTCGAAAGGTCTAGGTATGTAAAGCACTTAGAAAAGTGTCCAGCACTTAAAGTGCTTCTAAAGTACTGCCATAAATATTATTTAATAACATGAAAAAAACTAAGGACTGGAATGAAAATTACAAAAATCATGGTACTAAAAACTTTCACAAAGTTATTTAAAAGTACAACCGCTACTCAGTCATCAGTTGGAGTATAAATAAAAAAAATTAAAACTATAACCATTTTTCTGTACATAAAGTATATTATGTAACACTTCTAAACTTTTTCATTTACATGAGAAAAAATAACATTAGAAAAAAATCGGAATCCAGTTAGAATACCCACTGTAAGACTGAACTATTTGCAAATTTGCTTCCAAGGCTCAGGAATACACTACTCAACTGAGGCCGTATTTGAGTGACAGCACACACTTAGTAGTCCACCAATAAAAGAAACTTTCATCTCAGCTGTAGCTTCAGAGACCAGGATTCCTCGCTTAAGTTGATAAAACCCAAATAACGCACAGCTGAGCGAGTCTTTCTCCTAACACCACACCAAGCTTCTATTGGAAAATCCACAGACCAGGTGATGCAGTCACCATACAGCATACAGACACAGTATTTGCACTCTTCCTATCCCCTCCCCTAAGATCCAGACTCAGCCTGCTCACTCTGAAAGCTTTCTCAGTTCACCCTGCCATTTGCCCAGAGCTAAGCCACCTCTACAAGCGACGGTGAATTATTAAAAGGAACATGTTCACTGATAAATACTTAACTTTATTTCTTTGCACACAAGTTATCTACTTCCTTGCTACTCAAGGATAGTTCTTGTCCAGCAGCACATAGGTTATTAGAAATGCACAATATCATAATGCATCATAGACCTACTGAACCAGAAAATGCATTTTTAGTAAGACCCCCAAGTGATTCCTACCCAGATTAAGGTTTGAGTGATACTGTGATACTGCACATAGCAGCAAATATTAAAAATGCTCCACTTTACAAATGAATTCAGAGATAGGGAATGAAAAGTATCAAGACATAAAATCAGAAAAGCCCAAAGAGAAAAACCAATATATAAATGAAATTTCTCTGCCACTTGATAGTAAAGATTTTTCAACAATACCTATATTTATTGCTTCCTGCTTTAAGTATTTTGTGCAAGAGCACAACACTTACAAAGTTTTACAAGGAACAAAAGAATGGGTCTAGAAATTCCCCTGCAATCTGGTCCAAACGTGTGAAACCTGCATATTAAAATCTTGGGATTCTGTCCAATTCAGAGTTGACAAATGAACTCACCAGAAAGTTATTATTCACCAAAAAAAAAAAAAAAAAAAATCTACAGGATGTTAACTTTAAACACATATTATAATTCCTGGAACTAAAACTAATAACTAGTATCGAACAAATTCTAGGTCACTTGTAGAATCGAATCTTGTATTGAAGGTGTGTGTCTGTTTTTCCAGGAAAAGTCGGGGTGGGGAGCTGGATTCGCCCTCCCTGCCAAGTTATGCTCTTATCCTGAAAGACCTCACTTTCTTACGTGTGAATAAACTTAAGTCGTACTAACTCCGGTCACGGTTCCTTTCCTCAAAAGTGAAGTTAAGGCTTCTCTCTTCTAAAATCTATATTTTTTAAGGTTTGAGGATTCCAGGCCCGTTTCGCTTCCGGCCAGGGAAGGAAGCATGCTGCCCGGGGCCCAAATGAACAGGGAAATTTACCAAGTAGGAAGTTGAGCACTAGTCCGGCCGCCAGGCTCTGCCCTCTTACTGCAGCTGGCCTTCCAGTCTACACGCCGACTTCCTGGGGCAGGGAAGCCAGGCAGGGTACCAGCAGTCACCCCGCCCAGCTCGCCCGGGAGCTGAGGGGACCACCCCTCCCGCCATCCACCCCCAACGCCGACTCCGAGTCGCACAAACGGGAGGCGGTGCGACAACCCGTCCGCGGTGGCGGCGGTGGCCCCTCAGGCCTTCCCGTGAGGCGGCGGCTGCGGCAAAAGCGCGGGGTGGGGGGGGGGGGGCGAAACCCGTCCTGAGGCTGAGCGGGAGGCCGGGGCGGGAGCGACTGCATGTGGGGCTGCACTGGAGGAAGGCGGAGGCGTTCAGAGGGCTTGGCCTTTTTTACGATTATCATCATCATTATTTTGTTTTACCTGTGGCGCAGAAGGGCTCCCCAGCTCCTATTCCCTGAATCCTCCTCCTCCTCCCCTCCTCTTTCTCTCTCTCTGTCTCTCCCTCAGTCTGCCAGGCGCTCGCGGAACCGGCCGGGCTCGGCCCGACCTGAAAGAGAACAGGGCGGGAGGGGGTGGCGGCGGTGACCAGCGGCCACGTGACCACGCTCGCGCCGTAACGGCGACCGCCTCCTGCCGCGCGCCCTCCCCGCGCTCCACCTCTAATAACCTCGCAGCCTGCGCGCCTGGGAAGCTCGTGCGCAGGCGCCCGCCGGGGGCCTTAAGTCTGCGCGGGAGGGCGACGCGCTCGCTCTCGGGTCCGGGTTTCTGGGGCCCGTGAAGCGCGAGACGCGAGTAGATGGGGAGTGAGCTGCGGGCAGAGCTCTCCTTGGCTAAGCCGGCAGGCTGCTGAGCGCAGGCGCGTGAAGGCTTTTACCCCTCCTTTCTCTCCCCTCTTCCTGCGGGCGCGCGGCTGGAGGCTGGGAACCGGTTCCTGGGTCTTAGTCAGAGGTTCACATCCACCAACTACCTTCCCAGGGTGGGACTGATAAGAAGGGGATCAGAGGGTCCCAGAGACCTTCTTGAGATCCTGGCTCTCCTGCCAAGGAATGTACGTTTCCTTGTCACATGTAAATGGCCTCCCATTCCACTTTGTTCTGTAGGTGAGTAGGCTTCTAACTCAGCTCATCTGTCAATTTCTCAGTGAAATTTACCCCTCTCTACATTAGGGGAATCAATAGCACCTACTAGCTGAGTAGGCTTCTAACTCAGCTCATCTGTCAGTTTCTCCGTGAAACTTACTCCTCTCTACGTTAGGGTAATCAATAGCACCTACTAGCTGAGTAGGCTTCTAACTCAGCTCATCTTTCACTTTCTCCGTGAAACTTACCCCTCTCTACATTAGGGGAATCAATAGCACCTACTAGCTGAGTAGGGTTCTAACTCAGCTCATCTGTCACTTTCTCCGCGAAACTTACCCCTCCCTACCTTAGGGGAGTCACTAGCACTTTGTTCAGACCTACCTTGTAGTTCAACCCATAGAAAGATAAAAGTTGGAAGTTATGTTTTACAAGTGCACAATACTAGACTGTGGTTCTGTCTTTTCCTCATAGCCTTGGACGGGGTCTTCAGCGTTGTAGTATCTCCCTAAAGATCTGATGACTATCAGAACACAGGCAATGTCTAAAACTTTGTCTCGTTGCCCTTGGCCTCTGCATAATAATGATTTAAGATCCCCTTTAACCCAAGCACGTGGAATGCTGGTGTTTGTTTCCCCGATATGAAAGCCTTTAAATCATAACGCTAATTAAAGTGGTAAATGCTTCACCTAGTAAAAGAGATTTATGGTATTTTATTAGCTTATCTTCACAAAGAGCTCCAACGAAAATTGATACTGTTTAGTCCAGAAAAAGGAAACCAAGTCACAGAAAGGTCAGATTTCTGAAGGTTATCTAGCTTCAGAGAAAGGTGCCTGTGTGGGAGACATTTGTTTGTAGACAAACACCCCACTTCACACAGGGATCCCTCTTTTTCTGTTGTCCCTCTTTCTGTTGCAGAAGCTGAACAGGTTAAGTTAGTGCCTGTGGCCAGATTTAATCAGGGCAAATAAATAAAATAGATAACACTCCCTAATTGGGAGTTGTGGCTAGGCCAGTCATCATCACTGTTAGACTGGCGAATACTGAGATGATACTCAGGAAATGGGACTAGCAACAAAATGACAGAAAATCCTGCGATGAATGTATATGAATAAATAGGATTAACAGTGGCTTCTGAGACACTAGGAAAATGACAACTCTCAAGATTTCATTCTCATATGTTTCCAAAGTTGCTGGACTCTTTTCTGCATTTACCACTGTATACAGCCACAGAGTGATCCCACCTGATAGTTTCAGCTACCACATTGGTTATGCTAATGGCATCTCATTCTAAATATTCAGCCCAAGATTCAGACCCTGTGCTAGACTTTCTTGTGGCCCGCAATTAACTATGCCTCCCAGTATTCATGCCCATGTATATAGTCCTCTCTTCTTGAGTCTGGGCCAGACCTGTCACCTGCCTTAAATAATCAAATATTGCAAAAATTACTCTCTGTCACTTCTAGGCCTAGGCCTTAAAAGGCTTTTCAGTGACAACTTTGAACTTTACCAGAGACTCATGAGAAACAAATAGTTAAGAAATCCCGCCACCTTTTTGTGTTCTGAGAAACAGTTTACCACAAAGACCAATCCTTCTTCGTATTACTTAAAGGAGACTTGTTGTCCACTTTCTCTGATAGAACTAGTAAAAGACCTGTGACAAGACCAAACACATACCTTTCCCTTTTTCCTGAATCTGTGGGGAAGGTCAGTCACCTTTCAACTTCCTATTTGTCTCATGAACGATTAGCTAGGATTAGAACTATTTTCCCCCCCTTGAAATTAGGTAGAGATAAACATTTCCTAGATGAGAATTCCTCTGATTACCCAAATAATCCCGGTTGTAATCATCTCATCTATAACTTGTCTATGCCTCCCTGTAAAAGTATAAGGCAGCCAGGCACAGTGGTGTACATCTGTACTCCCAGCTACTCAGGAGATTGAGGTGGGAAGATTACTTGAGCCCAGGAGTTTGAGACCAGCCTAGACAATAGCAAAACCATGCTCTAAAATAATAACAAAAGTATAGGGCAAAACCACCCTGCTGAGACTCTGATCTTCAAATCTGGAGTACTCTCCCTAATGTAATTGCCTGAATCAAATCTATTTCCTCACTTGTTTGGTTTTTATCTTGGACAGCAGCTTTCGTTTTTGCCCTTTATGAGAAGAACCACGTAAGAAATCCAACTATTCTGAAGCTACCACATTGTGAAGAGTCTAACCAAGCCACCTGGAGAGACCAAATAGAAGAAAACTAAGGCCCCTGGCCAACAGCCCCAGCTGTGCTCCTCCTGGACAGTCAGCACCAGCCTGCCATGCATGTGATTGAGACCATCTTGGAAATGGATCTTCCAGCCCTACTCAAGCTACTGCAGATGTTACCACATGCAGCAGAGATGAGCTTTTCTCCCCAGTGCCCAAATAGCAGAATTGTGGGAAAGTAAATAAAACAGTTGTTGTATTAAGCCACTAAGTTTGGCTGTAGTTTGTTAGATATCATTAAATAACCAGAATAGACCTATGTATTTAGCTGCCTGCTAGAGATGTGTCCAAGTGGTCCCACAGGCACTTCAAACTCAATCTACTTCAGTTGAGTTTTTCAATTACCTTTCAAACCTGACCCTTTTCCTGTGTCCTTTACCCTCGACTGGTTATGCATTTATCTCCCTAGTTCCCTAAGCAGAAAACCCAGGAGTATCCCTTTACTCCTTATCCTGCAATATTCAGTCACTAAGTAATGGGCTTTCTTCTCCAGTCCCCCTAACATGTCTCACCTCAGATCCATGTCATCTCTGTCCTGAACTACTGAGGATTAATCAAGTTCTTCCACATTACAAAGAAGAGTCACTCAGGCATCCAGACTACTTTAGAGGTTTATTGTCAGGCAAGAAGTAAGGAGATGTGGGAAAACACCCCAGTCATCTCCCATGACCTGCATCCTGATGGTTCCCAGAGTGGGAGGCCCAGGTGGCATCATAAAGAGCCACAGCAAAGACCGCATCCTTTAGGCTACAACAAAAGCTGTAAGGATCCAGCTTCTCTCAGGGTTCTCAGATTCTTACTCCCCAAGAGACCAACTGAGGGACCTGTTAGTCCCAGTCAATGCAAAGCACCCTGACAAGGCAGAAAGTGGCCTGCAAATCTAATCTGGAAAAAGAAACAAAAGTCATAAAGCTGATGATTAATAACTCCTTAAAATACAAACCTTGTATAAAAATTCATTTTGAGTTTTGTTACTTATAATAGAATTTGAGTTTAAGGTAGAAAAATTAAATTTGAACTAACTTCAGCATTAGAAAAATAATTGTGACGCTTGGTTTTGCAGCAACTCATGTGCTGGTTGATTCTCTGCTTTGACATCTATGTGCATTCTCTGTCTTCGGACATGGCAGAAAATAATGCAAATGTTCTCAGAGTCTCTTGCCAAGGATTGGCTTTCTCCTAGGCCTCTGCCCATGTGGACATTCAGCCTGGGACTACTGTGGTCAGACCACCATCCACATTCCTTCTCCTTGCTCTTTTCTCCTCCACTCCATTCAACTCACCCAGGTAAATTGGCCATCATTAGATCCTGAAATTGCTATGGTGGCATAGACTGACATGATAATAAGATGTACAGCCTACAGTATTACAGTATGGGATTGTCCAGTGGGAAGTGAAAGGGTTGTGGTAAACATGGGCTGTGCGTGGGACTGGCATACTACCTTCTGCGTCATCCGTGAAAATACCCAACTCAGATCTCCTGCTGCAAGAAGCATAGTTGACTTTCAGCCTCAGCAGCTGCCCCGCTGGATCCACTATCAAGTTCATGCTGAGGCCACACTTCTCCTGGGATACTCTCACTCATTGATTGATTGCAGCAGGAGTATTGGTGAAGGCCAAAAGAGGATTCCCCTAACAGGCAGCTCTGGCTCAAGGATTCCCCAGTGGCATGGCCAAAACTTTCTTAGAACTGTGCCAAAGTCTAAAGCTCTTAAGAGCTCTTCTGTCCTTTCTCCTTAGCTTTCCCAGGTTACAGACCTGCATTGCAGTCTGAAGGCTTCCCCTCTGCCCACACACATGCAGTCCAGCTCCTGCTTTTTCCCCTTTGTTGGTGTTCTCTCAGTAAAGCTTTTGTACACCAAAAGCTTTGATGTAAATGAAAAGGAAGTCCTAGAATGGGCTTGTGTTTCAGTTCATTTTGTAAGTCCCATCTTGGTGTTTGCCTCTCAGAGGACCTGAACTGAAACACAACCCCATTCTAGGACTTCCTTTTTCCGTTCTCAGACTATAGCTACAGGTCACAGTTATTAGTGATATCAAGACATCTAAATTCTTTAATTCCTTTGGGTTTTGAAGAACATTTCATCTCCTAGAGCCATCTATTAAAATCCAGCTAACCCTAGGTAGAGATAACAACAAGCTAAAGTGTTTCACTGTTAAGAAAATAAGAAAGGCCAGGCACAGTGGCTCACTCCTGTAATCCCAGCAATTTGGGAAGCTGAGGTGGGCAGGTTGCATGAGCTCAGGAGTCCAAGACCAGCCTGGGCAACATGGCAAGACTCTGTCTCTATGAAACATACAAAAAAACTAGCCAGGCATGGTGGCACATACCTGTAGTCCCAGCTATTCAGGAGACTGAGATAGGAAGATCTCTTGAGCCCAGCAGGTTCACACTGCAGTGAGACCTCGTCTCAAGAATTAAAAAATTAATAAAAAGAAAATAAGAAATACTGTTTGAGTTAGTTTGACAGTAAAAATCATTAATATTGTGATAAATATTGTGAAGCTAACAACAAAAGTTTCGTAGGGTAATATGGCCATTTTGGTACCCCACACATTATTCTGTGTTTCTGGAGCAAATACTTTGGGAGTTATTTGTCTAGCTCATAACAAGAACTATCAACCACTATCCCTCAATCAATTCTCCTTTCCCTCCACCCCCAATCCTCTGTCAATAATCTAAAATAAACTGAGACCAATCAGCTTCTCCTCTAAGATAACTAAGAATTGGGATTAGAAGGGAACTAGTCAGTCTTTGTGTGTGGCTGGACCTGCAACAATCCAACAGAGTAGGCCATTTCATAAGTCAACCAGGATAAGAGAAACCACTTCAACTATTTACAACAGAGGAAATCTAATACAGAAAATGAGTTAACAGGCGATGGAAGCGCTATTCCTGCTACCTGGACCACAGAGACAGTGCTGATTCAGGTTTCAATGTGCAGAGCACCAAGCAAGCAATGGGGGAGATTTTCCAGAGACTAGCAACTGCAGGAGGGAACTCAACTATCCCCTAGCTGACAAGACACAGGAAGAGATAGTACTCATGGGGCTCCAGGCTGGGGTCATCCCATGGGACACACAGTCTGAGTGGTGTTATGCAGAGCGAACCACTTAGGGCAGCTTTCCTCGGGAGGTGACTATATGCATAGCAGAGACCTGCAAGGGGCACTTTCCCTGGTCACCCTCCCACTAACAACCACAAGGAGTAGGAGAGAGTCTGTTTCCTAAAGCAGGGTCATGGCTATTTGGCAGAGTAGGGAGAGATACTTGGCAGAAAAACAATATTTGTTCACTCCATTCCTTGTGTTAGTTACCCAGCACGTGTATATATCATTCTTCTCATACATAATTTTTAAACTCTTTCACCTAATAAACTAACCTTGTAAGTAAAGACTAGTAGGTGCTCAACCAATTGATTGGTGGTATTAGGGAGTGGCTGTAAAGTCATTTTAAATCTCACCCTAGTCATGGAAAACAAAAGTAAAATTATTCTTCGGAGAGTCTGCCTCCAAAATGCTAAAGCCAGGAATTGATTTGTATGTAGTGTCTGCATAGCTATGTGTGATAGACTGCTCGCTCCTCCTCCCTTCCAAATCTATTTTTCTCTTCTTCCCTACACTTCCATACACAAGTTTCTTGCCCTACACTGCCTCTCTTTCTCTATTCTTGCTACCTGGAACACAGATATAGTAGTGATTCAGGTTCCAATGTGCATAGCCTACCAGAGCAACCAGATTGCAGGAAACTGCATCCCTGTATTGCTTGGTAAAGTACTGCTTACCCAACCCAGACTGCCTCACTACATCTTTAAATTAAAGAGTGATAAACTTCTACCTTATTTAAGCCTCTGATTTTTTTCTGTCTTGCTTTAAAGCTGCATACTCAACCTAATACAATATATAAGGTATTACATATATGTATGTATGGTATTATATTCTGTTAACTAAGTTGATAGGTAGAGAATCTCATGAAAGCCTATCTAGATCAATTTAAAAATCATAAATAAATTCATTTGCCCTTAAAGGATATGATGTCAACATTTATGGATACCTGAAAAATGTCAAATGCCTTGATACAACAAGGCTGGTGTTTGTACCATGATGCTTTAGATTATTACCCGTGTGACTGTCTCCAAGTTGTCTTTAAAGATCACAGTACAGTCAGAAACATTGGGAGGAAGCATAAACTAAGAGGTTAAGTGGGCAGACTCAGGAGTAGAATTTCCCAGGTTCAAATCCTAGCTCCCTTACTTGTTAATGATATAACCTGAAGTGAGTTAATTAAGTTACTTAACCTCTGTGGCTCCAGTTCTATCTGTAAGATGGGGATAATAGTTCCTAACTTATTAGGTTATTGTGAGTATTAAGAGCATTAAATGAGATAATCTTCTGTTACATATTTAGCATAAGGTAACCATTTAATCTATATATCTATATACAAAATATGTATGTATCATGCTACATAAATAATTGTTAATAAATATTTGTAATAATTATTACTAATAACAATTAATAATAAGTATCATTATTAACTCTGAGTCTTCATCAGAAAAAGCTGTATTCAGGAAAAGCAGCTTATTCTAGATATAACAGTGATTACTGAAATTCAGTGTACGCACATACAAAATAGCAAATTCTGGACTTTGCTTTGGATATCAAAAAGACAAAGGTATTTTTGCTGTACTGCCCAAATGTCTCCTATGATATACCCACTAGTATGCCTCAATAGCATAGCAGTAAAATTAGTGTCTTAACTTTGCTCTGAAAGCACATTATTTCAAAACATTATCCTTCCTCTTAGGTGGGAGATTATCAGTGTTGATTTTCAACAATTTTGTGAAAGGATAATAGAGTCGTGATCACAATTAAGTATGTAAATTCATTTCCTTGAATCATTTGTTTCTGTAATAGCATTTATTTCCATTGGCTTACTTATTCTTGGTCTGGTATGCACAGGTGGTCCCTAATAAACATTTTTCAACATGATTTTGTAGTGTTTCTTATGCCAGATGAGACTCCTACAGTTTTTTCCAGGTACAGGCTTAAAATGTTGTGCCAAAAAAACCTTTAATAAGCAACATGGCTTATACCATTTAGTTCCATATCCCTGTTAGAGTGTTTGCCCCAATATGTTATTAGCAGCTGCTTCTTTTTTTTTTTTTTTTTGAGACGGAGTTTCGCTCTTGTTACCCAGGCTGGAGTACAATGGCGCGATCTCGGCTCACCGCAACCTCCGCCTCCTGGGTTCAGGCAATTCTC